ATCCTTGAAGATATTTACAAAATAATATTTGTAAAACTTCTATGCTAACATGGAATACTATTCTTTATGTTGTTTAGTTGAAGAAATCAGCTGTCAAGAAGCAGTGGAGGTAAGAAGGAACAATAAACATAACTAATAGATTGTGGAGTTTTGTTTTTTTTTTAAGGGAGCTGGGAATGTAGCTTGCCTAGCATTCAGAAGACCCTGAGTTTAATCCCCAACACCATAAAAAGTCAGGGTATCTGGGAGACAATAAAATTGATTAAAAACCAATATGCATGTAAATGAATATTTACATATTTACATCACTAAAGAGAGGCTTTTTTTTCTTTTTCTCTTGCACTGGAAATGGAGCCCAGAGCTTCCTGCTTGCTAGGTAAGTACTCTACCACTACCATGGAGCTACATGCCCAACCCCAGATGCAAACACGCAAACAAAATGTCACAGGAAGTGCTTATCACCTGACCAAACATCACAGAAGATAAGAAAGAAAGAAAGAGAGAGAGAGAGAGAAAGAAAGAAAGAAAGAAAGAAAGAAAGAAAGAAAGAAAGAAAGAAAGAAAGAAAGAAAGAAAGAAAGGAAAAAGAAGTGTAAGTGCTTGGCCAGACAATAAGACAGAACGAAGTGTTGAGGCCCATATGAGAAGATAAATTGGTATGCTTGTTATAATCATAATAAATCATGTCTGCCTCAAACACTCAATGTGATGTGTATGTTTGTGTGTTTACACATGCGTGCGTGTGTAAATGCAGACTGCAAACTCTCTAAGATAGCGTCAAGGTAACATGCAGCCCTGTAGGTTCCAAATGGCTGGCTGATTACTGTGGAAACTGGAATGATGTACTACAAAGGAAGGGTGCTATTTGGAGTGGAGGATGCTGTGATATGTTGAATTGTGTGGCAAATTAAGAGAATATATTGGAGTTTTCACTTCCAGTAACTGAGGATATGAACCTATCTGGAACTGAGGTTGTTGCAGATCAAACCAGTTGCATTATTATATTATTAATATATGCTACTTTTACATTACTTTGCACATTAACTTATGGTACTGAAAGACAGAATCTGGGTTTCAAAGCTGGGGTTTTAGCTAAATGATAGAATGTTTGCCTGGCATATATAAGGCCCTGCGTTCAATCCCCAGCAACACTGAAAAAAAAAATCTGGATTTTTGATGATTTTATTGAGCCACAGAATCAAAATATGGAACCATCTACCTGTGCTCTTACTATATGAAAGCAATTTTCTATTATTAAAATTATTTTGCTCATGCTAATCTGCTAAATACATAGTTTCTGTATTACACTTTTAACTTTCCCTCTTAAGATAATCTTCCTGTAGTCACAGTATGCTTCTAATACATTTAGTTCATAAGAAGAATTATACTAATCATGACTTTTAAATCAATCTTTCACTTTGCCAGGCAATTTCTCTTCCCAGTACTATTGTTTCAAAGTATGAGTACACTCTAGAGATCGTGAGCGCATTCTATAGAATTCTCTACTGTTGTAGCATTTTCAGGCAGAGGAAATACACAGATACTACTGACATTAAGATGGTCCATGTGTGCTGAGCTTTGAGCTGCCCTGGCAAACCCTAAGTCTTGACTGCTTTTCTACATGTGATGGTGCTAAGTTCACATTCCATTAGCTACCAGGTTTGCAGGACAGGCTATTTGAATTGAACATTTCAGTCACTCAAGCTTGTGAAATAATAATGGGGAAAAACAATGATTTAATTTCTTAAAAATAAAGTAGGATCAAGGATCTTTCTTTTTTTTCTTTTTTTTTTATTCTGTGTTTCCCTCTTGTCAGTTGTGAGGCTTGAACTCAGGGCTGGGAACTGTCCTTGAGTTTTTTTGTTCAAGACTAGCACTCTACCACTTTGAACCACAGCTCCACTTCCAGGTTTCTGGTGGTTAATGTAGAGATAAGAGTCTCATGGACTTTCCTGCCTGGCTGGCTTTGAACCTCAATCCTCAGATCTCAGCCTCCTGAGGAGCTAGGATTACAGGCATGAGCTACCAGCACCTGGCATTTTCAATCTCATCTTAAAAATAAACATAAAGGTTATCTGTTATGGTTTTACTTCACTGGCATTAGTATTATGTACACTGTTGCTGCCTATAATCCAAATCCAATTATTCACACAAACCAAAGGAAAAGCACTCTACGATCAATATACTGTTCAGGCCACCACAGAAAGACAATGCTAATCTGAACCATTACTGATTAATTATACTTTCAAGGATTGCTTTCCTTGAAAGTATAAGTATATATTGCTTTCCTATGAAGTATTGCTCATAGTAGAGAGTTTAAGTATGTGTTAAATTGAACCAACAAATGAAGGGTTATTCCTATAAACATTTTTTCTGTGTCTAAGGCTTGAACTTAGGACCTGGGCACTGCCTGTGACCTTTTTCGCTCAAGTTTAGTGCTCTACCACTTGAGACACAGCTCCACTTCTGGCTTTTTGGTGGTTAATTGAAGATAACAGTCTCACAGACTTTCCTGCCCAGGCTGGAACTGAACCGCAATTTTGAGTAGCTAGTATTATAAGCATGTGCCATGAGCGCCTGGCTTTCCTATAGGAACCAAGAGAAGGCTTAAGTGATTCTCCATTTGGAAAAATTGTGAGAATGATTCAGGCCAAGAACTGCAACCTAGATCCCAGAGCAGAGTAGACAGGAACATGCCTCCTGAGACAACTGATTCTGAAAATCAGTTTGCTCCGATTAGAACAAGAACATTGTTAGAATTTGATTATGAAACAGTCCCCACAGGTTCCTATGCTGTATGCTGTTTCTCAACTGGTAACACTATTTGGAGAGATTCTGAAACTTCAGAAAGTTGGATCAACCTGGGAAAAGTAGGTTGGGGAGGTGGTGGTGGGGTTCCTGGGAACATCTTGTCCCTGTCTCTTTTTCTTTCTGCTTTCTGTCTGCCCTGTGGTGAAAACTTCCTCCACACATTCCCACCACCATGATGGAAATTCAGCCCAGCACATGGGGCCAAATGACCATAGACTGAACCCTCCAAAGCCATGAGCCCAAATAAGTCTTTCTTCCTTTTAGGTAATTTCCTTGGGGGTGTTGATCAAAGAAACACAAAAGTAACTAATAGAAATTCCATTTTCTCTGTTTTCCTTTCAGAACAGACCAATTAAGATCCACAGAGCGATGTACTGTCAGTGGCTCTGGCTGCATCCTCATAGTGCCCTCCAAATTCCCCTTAGCCGTCTGGCTTATTTAACAATACATCTATCCATCTCACAGATACTGTGTGAGCACCCACTCCACATGCAGCACTGTACCTCAAGCTGGGCATCCCAGTACCACCAGAGCTCCAAGTTCATGGAAGACTTGCCACCAGCACTGTTGGTGCTGTGGTGACAGGGCATAGCTGCAGTGGAACTTAGACACAGGATCTTTGGTGCTAGCCAGAAATCAGAGAAGATCTCTGAGGGGAGCTGGCCTTTGAGCCAAACTTAAAGATTAAGGAGTAATTTTCCAGAGCTCTGAGTACTATTCCAGATTATGTAAAAAGTACATCAGGGCTTAAAGAATGACACAATCCCTAGAGATAGAAGAATGGAGGAGGAGGAGGAATGAACACTGATTCTACATCATCTGGATGACCATTTGCCATTAATCTTAGTGCCCACATACTATGTGCTCTAAAGTTGGATCCAGCCAACAGACAATAGCACTTGGAGGTCACAGGAGGTGCTGTTTGAACAAGATCATGCTAGCAGAAATAGCCAAGTAGGAGGAAGACTGGATCACCACATGGAACATAGTAGTAGGTATGCCAGACTCAAAATAACCCATGCTGTCATGCTGTGGAACATGGTCAACTTGCAAAGGACAAATGAGACTCACAAGACAATGTCATTTGTCTCATTACACTTCTGGCTTGAGTGTTTCTGGCTTTGTAGTTTTTTCCACAATGCCTGTATTTGTGTTGGTTTTATAGTTCTATAGTACAAACAAGAAGTTCATATGTAGTATCATGCATTTTAAACCTTTTTAAGAAACATTTAAGATTTAAGTAATCACTTAAGTAGTGTTTGTTTTTCTTTCAAATGGATCTTGTCTATTGGGTTTGTTTTTCTTTCAAATGGGTCTAGTCATTACCTATGACCCAAAGAGAGGAGCCATGGACTGTGGGAAGCCATGAAGAAATTAGAGCAGAGATTCATGAGAACCAATTGCTATGGTAAGGGACCAGTTTGGCTGGCACACAAAAGACCGCCCATGTGAACAACCGGGAATGGAAAGACATCTAGGGAAGCTGAGCATCTACTACTGTCTCTTATTTAAAGAACCCATCTTCTTCTTCCTAGTAAACTGTTTGCTGGCAAAGGTCAGGGTACTGTGTAATCAAATGCTGACCTGACAAGCAGAGGAGAGTGGTATTTGAGGGTATGGCTCATCTGACTGGAAAGCTCCCCAAATTTCTACATACGTCATTTCCCAGAGACTTCTATGATGAGGCCAGAACTAAATCAGGACCAAATCCCATTTTACTGCAGAGAGCCAAGCCAACAAAGTACACAAGAGAAGTTGCTATGTACATGGTAACAAAAACCAACCAGGGCCACCGCATATAACTCTGCAGGATAGCTGGAGTGAAATGAGATGCCTCATCAAACCATGTGTCATTGAGGCTGCATTTTTCCAAGGAAGGTGACTCTTTCTAATTTAGACAAAGGCTGGCTGGACTTGCCAAGCAATGATCCTTGGAGAAGGCTGCCGCTCCTGGAGAAGGCACCTTTTTCTAATTGCATGATGGTAGGCTATGGGCTAGCTGCAATCTAATTCCACTTTTTGGAGAGCAAAGTCTTACTATCATTAGGCAAATTAGAATACTTAGCTTTCTATGAGGATAAAAATATTTTGTCTGCCTTGAAAAGTTTGAGCAACATAGGCTTTACCTATAAAATGGCATAGTAACAAGACATTCAACAAGTACCAAGAACCACATGTTCCCTGCTCACCTCAGGAGCCATCCAGAATGGGGTACCAACTGACGTATTCCTCCGGAGACGCGTGCTGCTGAGTTGAGCTGAGACACCTGTAAAAAAAAGGGTCTCAGAATTCAGCAGGAAGCAGGGGATGATGCTATACCAGAGGTTGGCCATCTTCTCAATAAAAGCACAGGTAGTGTTGTTTTCGGTTTCATGCACCCTGTAGTCCCTACCGATAGAAGGTTTTTATGGGCTAAAGCAGTCACAGAACCATGTAGAAGAATGAGTCTGACTATATTCAAATTAAACTTTATTTATAGGTGCTAAAATCTCAATTTCATATAACTTTCACATGTCTTAAAGTATTTTTTAGTCTTTTACCCAGTAATTAAAAAAATATAACAATCAAGTTGGAGATGGTGGTAGTGAATACCTGTAATCCTAGCATTGGGAAGCCTGAGGCAGAAGGATTTCAAATTTGAGACCAACTTGGGCTACACGGATGTTTCAAGGCCAACCTGAGGTAATAGGAACTCATCTCAAAAAAACTCAAATATGGGTGACATTAGTCAAGCTGGATTGTATTCATATGGAAATGTTGAATTGAAACCCCTTTATATGACTATTTAAAGCTAACAACAACAACAACAATAATATATACCATATATATAAATATTACATATACATCTGTATATAAACACATACATGTGTATATAAATATATATTACATGTATTCTATATAAATATATACTATATATACTTATTAGCTAAAGTGCTATACAAAAATAGAAGATGGGGCATATTTGGCCCTTGAGCTATAGTTTGCCAAACCCTATACAGGAGCATTTATCATTCTAGCTAGTAGAACTTTTTTTCCCTAATGACTATTCCTACCCATATCACTACAAATTTGGAATCAGAAGAAAAATACCAACCACTGGGATCAACCCAGAATACCTCCCTCTTATTATTCCCCAATCCTTTCAGGTGGCTTCTTTGTGCAGGCGCTGCAGCTCTCGAAGGAAGATGACTGGCATGTGTTATCTCTAATGGAGCATCGGTGTCGGCAGTAAAAGATTGCAGAGCCTTATCTTGCCTAGAAGCTCAAAAAGTTGGCAAGAAAACATTGTTTGTCAAATGGAAAAAAGAAATTGACAGTAACATTATTATCTAAAGCTCAACATTAAGGACTTGAATTTTAATGTAATTCCAATGTCATCTAACTAACTCTCTTCTCCATAGGGAGAAGAAATAGGGTAGAAGTAAAGCTGTACCTATTAAGAATAAGAAGACTTTCTTTCCATCCCAATTATGCCTTTTACTAATGGGATGACTGTTTCCATTTTTTTTGGGGGGGAGGGGGTTGGTCATGGAGCTTGAACTCTGGGCCTGGGCACAGTTCAGCTCTTCAGCTCAAGGCGAGCGCTCTACCACTTGAGCCACAGTGCTACTTCTGGTTTTCTAGTGGTTTATTGGAGATCAGAATCTCACAGGCTTTTCCTGCCCAGGCTGGCTTTGAACCGTGATCCTCAGATCTCTGCCTCCTGAGTAACTGGGATTACAGACATGCGCCACCAGCACCCAGCAGACTGTTTCAATTTTGAGCCTCAGTTTTCCTGTTGCCAAACTTGGATTAAGGACAGTAGTCTCATTTAACATAGAAGATTCTGGTTGTTGTTGTTTTGGTATGGTTTTTTGTTTTGTTTTGTTTTTTGTCAGTCTTGGAGCTTGAACTCTGGGCCTGGGCACTGTCCCTGAGCTCTTCAGCTCAAGGTGAACATTCTACTACTTGAGCCACAGTACCACTTCTGGTTTTCTGGTGGTTAATTGGAGATAAGAGTCTCAAGGGCATTTCTGCCTGGCTGGGCTGGCTTTGGACTTTGATCCTCAGCTGTCAGCCTCCTGAGTAGCTAGGATTACAGGTATGAGCCACCGGCATCAGGCCAACAAAGAAGATTCTTGCCAACTGCAAATAAGAGAACAATAATGTAAAGACCTTTACAAACATAAGGCATTATTTTACTATAAGCAGAAGTGTAACATTACCTCTTAGATAATGACATTGCCACAAATGCTATGGATAACAAGAACTTAGAAGCCTGAACCTTGAGGAGCTTGTTAGCAAAGGGCCACCCTTGAAAATATCAAAAATATCAGACCCGGATATGCCAAGAACTGAGGATGGGGGGTGGGGGGTGGGGGGTGCGGTAATCTGCTTCCTCTCTGTTTACTCTCAATCAGAAAGACAAAGATGGGTTTTATTGTTGTTGCTGCTATTATTTTTAATTTGTTGTTTTGTCTTAAAACAGAATGTTGATATGCTGACAAGGCTGACCTCAAACTCCTGGGTTCAAGAGATCTTCCAGCCTCAGCCTCCCAAGTAACTGAGACTACAAGCACTCACCACTACACAGAGCAAGATAGCTCCTTAAACTCTATTTGCACAATTTCTTATTTTACAAAGTCCCCCACTACATTTTTGGTTAAAACAACTATTTCTCTTTTTTAATTTCTTTCGCAGTAACTAGACCAGTAAGTAATTTACAAAACTGGTAAATGAACAAACTAGTATTAATACCTATCCTCATCCCTCTAGGCTATTTCCCTCCCAACCTCACATTTAGTGCTTTCAGGATCATGTAAAAAACACATCTTTACCCTCCATGCCACATAGTATTGAAGCCATAGCATTCCTGTGGAGAGATAAGCCTTAAATGCAGTGACTCCTCTGCCATTTTTCTTTGTTTTCCCCCTTGTAGACCAACACAACTCAATACCCATTTATTTTTAAATAATTTCTCCTGTACAACTGATTTAGAGACACATTTTCACACAAATTCTTCCTTATCGATAAAATAATGCTTACTCAAAATCATCAATTTTGTTTTCACTCTAACATATTGATAACATTTTGAAAAGTGTTTTATGTGTTTCTCATTACTAGTAACCATAAGCCTGTCTTACTAACTAGTCTTGAACTCATTAAGCAGATTAAACCATCCCATATACCAGAAAAGGCAGGCTATTTGTTGGTTTGCACCTATCATCATATGAATGTGTCCAGAAGATGTTTAATATCTCTGACCTCAGGAGATATTGCCTGCATTTCCTCCCAACTTTCCAAGTCCCGTTCATGTTTCCAGCTCAACCAGCCTCACATGTGACAGCAATCATCACAATTTAACAAGATGTTAGCTGCTAGACCCAAAGGACTATTTTACCTTCAGCTCACTGGGAATTGAGATGCCTAAGGCAAGTGAAAGTCATTTGAAAGACCAAACTGCTTTCTCTTTTCATATGCAAAAGAACAGATGACAAAATGCAAATCATTGCCCTGAAACAAGATAAATCTCACCAGAAAAAGTAGAAAGTTTCTCTTTTCCTATCAGGTTTTTTTGCAACACTTTTATTTCTTTCACAAAATTGCTTTTAAAGCTAGAAATCGATGAACAAACAGCCTCTCCTGGGGTGGTCCATCTGGTAAGCCCCCCCTACCCTCCAGCATGCATTTCCCTCAGCCTGTGGTATAGACAGGCCCTAGTCTTCTGAGATAGCAATAAATTGTCCCCTTTGGCTAAGCTGTACACATCAAGAAAACAAATGACATACAGTCATTACCAAAGTCAACGAGCTTAACTCCTCCTTCTGTTGTCAGAAGAATGTTATTTCCCTTCACATCCCGGTGGATGATTCGGTGGTTGTGCAAATGCTGGAGGCCCTGCATGGTGCCCCACCATCACCACAGGACAGGAAAGAGAAAGGGGGAGAGTTACTTATTTTAAAGCAATTACCCTATGACTACATAATCTAATCTAAACACACATTTGGCTACCCCTTTCTGCTATGAATAATCCTTGAGTTTTATAGAACAGTGTCCCCGTTCATGTGCGATGGGGATCTGACAAGTGGACAGATTGTCCCCTCTCTGGTCACCCCCAGCTAGATGGATATTCTTACCAAGAGGGCTCCATACAAGATGTAGGAGATCAGGGCTTCGTCCAACCTCTGGCTGCATCTGAGGAGACCTTTGACAAGCTCGGTGACTGAGCCTCCGTTGCACAGCTGTGAGAGAAGGGCAGCACAGAGACAGGCAACAGCAGAATCCAAGCAAAAGACAAACAAACTCAGAAGAAAGCCCATTGATTACTGGCTCAAAGTAAATTTGCAGAGCAAAAATCTTAGCCTGGAATAAGTAGAGTTCAGGTTTGCATAAGCAATTACATACAGCTCTTTGTGTGTGTGTGTGTATCCACCTGTGTGTTTGTGTATGCGTGTGTGTATTCTTCCTTCAAGCTGATGATTTATGAGTAAAAGTGCACTACCAAAAAGCTGACTTTTTCATTGTCAAAGAAAATCTAAAAGCCCAAGTTATCATTTAGCAATCTAAAAAAAAAGGCTTATTAGTAATTATAGTGACTTATTGGATATTTTTTACCTTATGTACCTATTGCCTTTTTTTTTTCAAATGTGCATTTTGAGGATGAGAAAGGACTGGAAGAGCAAGATGGATGTCCTTGATACCTGACAGGAAATAAATTTTAGTGATTTCCAACATTCTTGCTTCTGGGCCAGCATTCAGGCATCGAAAGCCCAACCTGTAGCTCTTCTAGAGTTGCCAAAGCATGGCAGGTTTATGGGATGGAGCTGCATCATCAGTGCATTTGGTGTTCTCATATTCAACTTCAGAATCTCAGCAACTAGAAGCTTCCCCATTCTCTCTCTCTCTCTCTCTCTCTCTCTCTCTCTCTCTCTCTCTCTCTCTCTCTCTCACACACACACACACACACACACACACGTTTAAAACATCCTAGAAAATTATAATCTGTATGTTGCTCTTTCTTGTATAATGTATATAACGGAAATGAATACACAAAGCAGGCATAGTCTGCTTTCTCAGCAATTGAAGGGTTTTCTTTTTTTTTATTGTGAAAATACTGTACAGAGAAGTTACAATTAAATGGGCAAGATAATGAGTACATTTCTTACCAAGCATTGTAGCCTCCTCTTTTGTTTCCCCTTCCCATCCGGTCCTCCTCTCCCAACCCTCCCCCCGCCACCAAAGTTGTAAAGTTCATTTTCAACGTAGCGACTTGTATGTCTCGTTGTTGCAATGGGTCCACCTATATCCCTAGTTAAACGATTTGTTTTTTCCTTCCCCTTCACAAATTATACCGACATCAAATACAGTGAAAGCAGGGGTTATACCGTAGGGAGGGACATACAACACAACAAAGAAATAATCTTATAAATGTGTTAGAAACAATCGCATGAAAGAAAAAAACATTTGAATACATATCTTAGGGTTCATTTCCCTAACATCAACTTATCTGACCTTTTCTGCTTGGACCTATGTTTCTTTGGGCCTGGCTTACTTTACTTAATATAATTTTTTCCAAGTCTTTCCATTTCCTAACAAATGGGGCAATGTCATTCTTTCTGATGGAGGCATAGAATTCCATTGTGTATATACACCACATTTTCTTTTTTTTTTAATTTTATTTTATTTTATTTGTGAACATACTGTACAGAGGGGTTACAATTACATGGGCAGGATAATGCGTACATTTCTTACCAAGCATTGCAGCCTCCTCCTTTGTTTACCCTTCTCATCCCTTCCCAGCCTCTCCCCTCCCCCCCAATCCCAATCCTTATCCCAATCCTTCTCCTCCCCCCCCTCCACACCGACGTTGTAAAGCTACACCACATTTTCCATTCATCTACTGAGGGGCATCTGGGTTGATTCCCTATCTTAGCTATGGTAAATAAGACAGCCATTGAAGGGTTTCAATGATATTTTTCACTAACTGCAGAAGTCCATACGTCCATGTGTGGGTTTGCTATGAACTATCTTAAATTAAGGGGTTTGTAACTGTTTTAAGAAAGGTATGTAAATATCCTGAAATTGCACGCATCTTGTATTTTTCTGAAAATTCAGAGCCACCCTTGACCTTGAAATGATTTAAAAGTCTGCTTTAGAGACTTAGGTTCTTCCCTGAGGCTTTGTCTGAAATTTGGGCAGAGTTAACCCGTGAGCAGTGGGTGGGCCTCTGTTGAGTCAACTGGCTTTTCTGACTTACACAAGAAAGCTGGAGGGAGCACTGATTATAGCTTTCCTAAAAGAGGCACCTCTTTATCAAGATAATAATGCATTAGGACCTATTCAACTCTAATTATGGACACCTGCAACATTTTAATAAAGGAGGAGCAGAGTTTTTGTTTGGCATGGGTATCATCACCCTCTCCCAACCCCTGTATGCTTAGCAGATACCTTACACAACAACAGTCAAGATAACCTGGAATTCAACTGACACGTTTGTGCCAGTTAAGATGCTCCCACTGACAATGTGTAACTGAAAATATATAACATAGAATTAGCAAGTCTTTAAAGCTAGCATAAAATTACTATCATGCAGGAATTCTTATAGAGGGACGGTCAGCAGTGAAATGCTGAAGACAATGATGGACCATTGAAGTTGGGACCATATTAACTGACCTGCTGATTTAACAACTCAACCCAGCAGTCATGTCCGCCGTGTTGAGCTGGCAGCATTTTGTCTTTGCTTGAGTTTAGAGGTTGATGTCCCCCAAAGGCCTACCTATGAAAGGCTTGGTCCCCAGGATAGTGTTATTGGGAGGTGCTTTTAAGAAGGGGCCTTAAGAGAAGTCCTCAGATTACAGGATATGTACCGTACCCTTAAATGGGTTTATATGACCCTTACTCCATAGCGTCTTCCTCTTTCCTTTTTGCCCCATGGCCATGCAGGAAGTTCATTTCATCACATTCTGTACCTTATCAGTGGCCTGATAGCAATGAGTCTGCCTAGTAATGGACAGAACCTCCTTAAAGCTATAAGCCAACATCATAAACAAAACTATAAGCCAACATTTATCTTTATAACTTAATTCTCTCGTGTTTTGTATAAAATTGAAAAAGACTTTCACAGTCTTCCAAAGAGCTCCAAATCTTTTAAATTCTAGCTATGTGTTTCATGTCTTTGAAAGGGATAGAGGTGAGTAGGAAAAGATGGCAGCCAGGGAATTGTGGCCTATACAACTTGAAGATGACAGGGTAAGCTGATAGATCAAAGCCTGCCTGACAAGGAAATGGGGGTAGTAAGGAAGTAAGATACCTGTTCAGTAAGAGCAAAAGAACGAAGAAACAGGATGAGACATAAGTCTGTGGAGTCACAAGCTTATAAGGAACAAAAAGGAGATCCACCAATCAGAAAGCTGTCTTCAAGAGGCCCAATTTTCCCTAGTTAATTCAAAGCCAATCTCTGTTTCCTCAAAGTTGGGATAAGATAGCTGAAATGGACTGAAGTGTCATCTTCCCGAGGAATGTCTATGCCATGTGCTGCTCTCTCTCTCTCTGTCTCTTTTTTCCTCTCCCTCTCCCTCTCCCTTTCCCTCTCCCTCTCCCTCTCCCCCCCCCACAATAATTCTTTTGTATTAAACTTTCTTATCACCTTTACTATGTTTGCATCTTGTCTGAATTCTCTTTCCAGACATAAGAAGTCAACTTAGCTGCCCTAAAGCTCTGGTAACAAAAAGACAAACAACCACAACCTCCAGTGTCCTCTCTTGGTTCTCAATGTCTGTGACAGGCTAGATGTTTTACCTATCATTCACCACTCATACATAGACACATGAGTGACTAGGTGAGAACTGTGGAGGTAGCATATAACTAGGGAGTATGGTGTTACCAAAGAAGAAAGGGTGAATCTGGGAAGGATAACCCAGCAGGAACAGCCTTGGAAATTCTCCATTTGTGGTCAGAAAGATAAGTGGGTTTGGTCAGGTGGACAAGAAGGGAAAGAACATCCTGGGAAAATAAGCACAGAGATATCATGTGCAAAGAAAGGAAACATGAACAACTAAGGTATGTGTGTATACATATGTGTGTGTGAGTATATGCATATGCATGTGAATTCTAAATGCTCTGCTATTCTTGGGACAAAAAGGGTCAAGCTCTTAAGGCAGAGAGATGAGAAAAGATGATACAGGACAGGGAATGGTAGATGTGCCTTGCTAAGGGTTATGAGCTATTAGTCTACCTTATTTCTATTACAATGCCATGACATATAATAATACAGAAAATAAGCTACAGATGGTAGGCAGAAGGTCTGTCTGTTCAACTCTGAATTCTGGAAAGATGACTCAGGCAGCAGATTGGAGGATGGTCAGAAGAGGCATCCTAGACACCAGTTACCATGTGAGATATCAAAGGAGTCAGGGTCAAAAGTCAAGTCATAGCGATAAAATCAAGGGCCCAGCTTGTCAGGCTCTGATGAGATTGGCTGGATGTAAATTTCTGACCAATGGAGGCAAAGTAGAGACAGAGTCTATGGATTCTGTGAGGCTGAGGGAAGTATCAAGGAAGTTATTTGCTTCTCTACAGCAAAAGGGGGATGGGGTGTAATAGGAATGCAAGATGATAGCTTCCTCATTGGACCATTTCCCAGCAGGCATGCCTCTCAGAGGCACATGCTTTCTTTTATTTTTCCTTCCTTCTTTTCTTCCTTCCTTCCTTCCTTCCTTCCTTCCTTCCTTCCTTCCTTCCTTCCTTCCTTCCTTTTCCTTTTGTGCCAGTCCTGGAGCTTTAACTCAAGGCAGGGCCTGGGCACTGTCCCTAAACTTTTTTGCTCAAAGCCCTACCACTTTAGCCATAGCTTCACTTTCAACATTTTGGAAGTTCACTGGAGATAATCATCTCACAGACTTTCTTGCCAAGCTGACTTTGAACCACAATTTTCAGATCTCAGCCTCCTGAGTAGCTAGGATTACAGGCATCAGCCACTGGTGCCTGGCTGGCATATGCTTTCTTGAACCACAAGTACCCTACTGAAATTCTAGTTAAAGAAAGTTAAATTAAATACTGAGTGATGATCCAAGCTAAAAGAACCTCAGAATTTTCTCCTGAAAATTCTTTTAAGTCTCAAAGTGTGTCCAGGTTTGCCACAAGGACCTCTTCAGTAATATTTTATATAGGCAGCCAACTTCTAAACTTTCCTTCTAACTCTGGAACCTAAGAAAGGGTTGAAAGCAGTTATTTGTCAATAGGC